CCTTGACAAGCTTGACGATCCCTGACTCCGTGACACAGATTGGAGAGTCCGCCTTTCAGGATTGCACCTCCTTGACAATTAAGCTTGACAATTCCTGACTCCGTGACAAAGATTGGAGAGTGCTTTGACAAGCTTGACAATCGGCAACTCTGTGTCACTGTCAGAGATTGGAAAGTCTTCCTTCCAGAATTGCAGATTGCTGACAAGCTTGGTCCATTCCGAGATCAGTGGCTCTGATCGAAGCGCGTGCCTTGATGGATTGCAGCTCTTTCGTCAACACTACAGCTACCAGCATCTCTGGAACGCCAAGCTGGGCAGCGAGCGCGGCTCCGTGGCCGAAACGACGGAAAAGGAGGAACCGGAAGATGGGGCGAGTTGCTTCAGACCAAATGTTTAGTAGCGAGCCTTGTTCCGTTCATAGTACGAATGCTACCTTCGTAGCGATGCACCGGGTTCCTAGTAGCGAACCTTGCTCCTAGGAGTATGGCCAGGAGCCCCGTTCGTAGCTTCTTGTTCCTAGTAGCGATGCCAGGAGCCCCTAGTAGCTTCTTGCTTGCATGGCGCTGCAAAGTCCTAAGAATCTAAATTAGCGACCAGAAACTCCTTCCACCAGGCTTCGAGTTCTGCAATCGGGATTCGAATTGGCTTCGTTTCTTTTGCTTATCAATTACTCAACCCGTTCGCCAGACTTCCAAAACAAACTGGACACCTTCTGAAACGGCTGCAAGTGGCAACTGGCGCATTTGTGTTCAAAGACTAAAACTGATTCTTCATTTGACTTCCTTGAAGTCATTTGAAGTCCAAGATGTATATTCCGGGATGGACAACCCAGGTCCGCAACCAAGTCCAAGAGGTGTGTAAAGGGGGAGATATATACAGTTGATGTTTAGCACTGAAGGTAACAGCTTCATTAAAGTGACGCTTTCTGCTTTGAACACGACAGCATTGCGGGCCGATTTGCCCTGTACAGGCACAAGGTAGACGAAAGAACAATTCGAATGGTGGATTGTCATATGCTCTATATCCTCTGAAGTGGTGAGAAAATCATCCTGGCCCTCAGGTGTTGCGCTCCGAACGGGTGATGCTGGTAGTTCTAAACCCTAGTTCTTCATGGTTTGAGGGGAGGAATTCCTTGAGGCCTCAGCCTTTAACTAATGAAGAGGATGACAAAAGTTGCTTCAACTTTACAGTCTGAACATTCTGCACCCCCCAAACCTGCACACTGGAAATATCACCCAAGGCCCAAACCTGCAAAACTGCTGGGAGCTCCTGGCAGCCTGAGGTTCCACCGTTCCAGGCCCACCGTTCCAGCTCTTCCAATTCTTCACGACCAGGTGCAAAGCCTCACCGGACGGCTCACCGAAGGCACCGAAGGCGGGGCCGAGCCGAGAGCGGCGGAGCCGCCCGGAGGGGCGGACGAAGCACCGAAGCACGGGGTGTTGCGTGGGATCACCCTGCCAAAAGCCTCCCGAAGCCTAAAAATTGGGAGGGTTGGGGCCCCCCCCACCCACTATTCACTATAAGAATCTATAAGATCTATAATGACAGATGGAACAGGTGGAATAGTTTGGTTAACTGGTGAAACCTTTGTCTTCCAGGATAAACGGCTCGGAAGGCATATGTGATCCTATGTGTATATCGAGTGTTAAAGCTCCCAGGTCTTGAAGGCTGGTTGAACAGTGCGGCTTTGGAGCTTGATCGAACAGGTGCTCCGATGCTGCCCATGCTCCTCACTGACATCATCCCGGACATGAGGCGCTGTGGCACCTGCAAAGGTCTTCGAATAGATACAGAGACCGCGCACGTGCAGACCGGGTGTGTGATGGTGTGTGTGTGTGTGTGTGTGTGTTGAGAGACATATTTAGGTTGAGATCGTCGCTGTGCAGGGAAACCGATATGGTAGTGGTGGAATCAGTTGCAAGAGTATATGCTCACCACCTGCACCCAACTGATTTGAAGCCGACCCTGGCCGAACAAAGGCGCGCAGATGAGATCTCTATCTTGAAAGATGCGTGCGCCAGAGTGATGATTTGGTGTGTGGGGGGCGCACCAATCGCTTTGTCAATGAACCATTCCCCGTATGTCTTATATACTGCAAGCATGGGTGTGAGTGCTGATTAAGTTGCTTGAAGTTGGTTCCTCATTTGAAAGGCCATTGGTCTCAATCTCTGTTTGGGAAGACCCCACATGATCATCATGACCCAGCTCGGTTCGAGTTCCAACATGGTGAAAAACGGTTGAACGCGGAAAGAAGACTTGGCGCTCAGCCAAGGTCCCATGGTGTGGCTCATCTTGACCTCCAAAAACGGATGTTCTCAGATCTCTCCTCACCTCGATCGTCAGGGTTTTTCGTTTCCGTGGCCCACCAAGTTCTGGGCCACGGATTGGGCCTCCATGGGCCAGATTGTGGGATGATTGTTAATCCATCTCAGATGATGCCCCAGTTTCTTGGAACCTTTACTCCTGCGGCCTCGAAGGTACGGCATGCCAGTGGGGAGACTCGAAAAACGCATTCCGGAGGAGACGGCCTGAAGCGCCTTTCAGTACTTGGAAGGCGACCCGATTGGAGCAAGTGTGCTAGTGACATTCCCAGTGTTCAGTAAAATGTGTGTCCGTTGAAGTTGATGCAATTCATCAGAAAATCTACTGCCCCGCGGGACCAAGGTCTAGAGTATCACACTAAGCCCATGAAACAGGAAGTGAATGGTTTGTGTACCCATGTGTACCCCATGTTCATTGAATGGGCAAAAGGGTAAACTGTATGTCCAACAGGGCTCCCCCAAAATCGACGGAGCATCTCCAGATGAGACGGAGGAATGTTCAGAGCATAGAAATGGGAGACACTTTTCAAGAAGATCTCGATATGATGGACCGCTGTAAGAGGTAACTTCACGTGACAGAAATGACCTCCAGTTCCATGTGATTCCTTTCTTGAAGGGTAACATCTAGCAGTATCTAGCACTTTGTATGCCCATTGACTATACCAACCGTATATGCCATGTACCATCTATCTATACAGCTGCTTTGTTCATGACGTCTCCTTCGGGACCACCCCCCGAGGTCGAGATGTTCAACGGCTCGGCACCCGAGTGGTGAAACCGGGAAAAACGGTGCCACCCGTGTCCATCTGAAACGGGCCAGGTTCTTTGGGACGTTTTTTTTTGGTTTTTTTGCTTCGATGGTCGCGGGTGAAGAATGGTGAAGACTCGTGAAGACAATGAAGGTCAAAGATGTTCTTGTTGAGAGAAGACCATGAATACTCTTTTGATCTCTTTGGGGTGCCACACGGCGCCACACGGTTGGACAGGATACAGACATAGATGCAAAGACTTTGGCTGAAAACAAGATTTAGAGAACAAATCCGCAAAGGGACGGGCGGATCAGCCAGACTACCTGTTTGTACGACAAGTGGTTGCCCAGCAGACATCACTGAATCACTGTGAGGGCAAACGGTGTTGTGTAAACAATGAATTTACCCAACAAATAAGAAGTGTTACTTATATATATATATATATGATACTTATAGACTTGCTCTTGAAGAGATGATGCCCTCCCTTCATGAAAGAGCCAGGAAGTCCCTTTGGCCACCTGTGGATCTTAAACAAACCAAGACCATCCACCCTCCAGAGCAAGACCATTTGAACCCAGACCATGGATGACCATTCAACCCCTGTGAACTCGCGAGTTTGCTAGTGCTGATCCAATGCTGACAGCTTTTTACTTCCTTGGAACGGCTTTTTCGTACCTTTTCCGCAGTGTTTCTGGCCAGACCTGGTCGGGACCTGGTCGATTTGTGTCAGAGAAGCTCACTCACTTCGGTGCAGGCAAGATGAAGTTCCCCACGCTCAGCAAGGCTTGTTGGCACCTGTCAATGATATTAATTTGGCATGTTGGGATATTTGGGGAATGTGTTGGGATTTTTTTTTTAGATGACACGTCCAGTCGAGCCTCAAGCCTTAGTCTTGTTTGATTATTTTGATATCTTTTGATCATTGCAAGGCTGCAGGACAACCTCACCTTTGGGAATAGTAAAGCAATGCTTTGTGCAGTGGTGATTTCGCTTCGAACACGTTCCATTGAAGCTTTTTGGAACGTAGAGTGTCAACTCGCTACGTTTTCCATTCACCGCGACTCGCTACGTCAGTCATCCGATGTGCCGAAGTCCCGGATCCGTCGACGGCTCGCAGGGGATGGTCGACGAGCTGCAGAAAGCGGGCGTGTACGAGGAGAGGGGCGGGCGGGGCCGGGGAGTCATTCCACCCAGTGATACCCAGGCAGTGCATCCAGTGAGAGTAGATCTCCGGTTGCGGCGTGATTCTGATTCTTCGTGTCGCACCCTGTCGAATTAAGGACTTGTCCTTCGTTGGAAGGACATGTTTTCATGGCTACAGTAGAGTAGTAGGGTAGAAGATGCAATATAGAGACTGACTGGTGCGACTCGTAGGGAATGAGGGAATGGATCCAAAGGAATTCTCTATTGTGGGCTCATTCCCTCATTCCCTACGAGTCGCACCAGTCAGGAGAGGAGGATACAAAAAGGTTTCTGTCCCCCGATGTCCCCATGGTAGTCCCCATGGTTTATAGAGTCTACCACCATGCATGTTGCGATAGGTCGACCACGCTCACGAGGAGAAGACCGTGATTCCCAGTGTCGCAGACTACCTTAAGGACCGCTCAGCTTGCGCTTGGAACATGTTCGGACATGTGTTAACTGTGTCCATCCCAAAATAGTCGAAACCAGCGTGCCACGTGCCAGTGTAGTATGCCGCCGAACCTGAACGCTGGGGGAAACCCATACACGCAATGGTGGAAATTCGAGAAACGAAAGGTTTCTTCGGTCCTCTTGGAGACAGACACTGGATCTCGTGTCAGAGATGGTACCAATCGCTCCCAGGACCTTTGCGCCCCGCCACCCCCAGAGGCTACTCCGTGCTTGGCAATGACGACATGATGGGCCTGCACTTGGTCATGGAAATAGAAGGGTTTTCACGCTTGGAAGCTCCATCAAGCCTACCAAGCACATGCCTATGCCAGCCAGGCCAAGCCTGCCAACATAGGGAACAGGGTGGCAGTTTGAAGTAGTTTCTGAGCTGGCCATGTTGCCTTCTCGAAGAAGAACCAGCAACCTGCATGCACCCCCGCGCACTCGCGCCGTAGGTGCCCCGTCCGGCCATCCGCGTGGTGGTGTTTGGCGCGCCCAGGGTTCGGGTGCCCAGCAGTGGGCCGAGAACTGGGAGCTTGGCCTCTCCACGGTGTAGGTGAGCTGGTCCACGACACGGTATGGTATGGCCTATGATTCGGAATTGGGGCAGCTGGCAGCTGCGTAGTAGTAAAGTAGTTTGTAGTTCATATACAGTATATGTTCATTTGTTGGGATTTGTTTCTGCCCCTGTTCCTGAGAAACCGTCATCCACTGGATGATCGGGCAGTAACACGGCAGTATCCTCGTGACTGACTGGTGTGGAATTGAACATAATATGTTTTAACATGTTTTAAGTGTCTAAAGATTCTAAAGACCGGTCAGTACATCTTGACCTTTTGAATCATACGGAGTAGCACCTTTGATACAATTGACGAAACACACGCACATGCCCCCAGAAATCCATTTCGACGCAAAAGCAATCACATGGCCACTGCAAAATCTTTTCTCGGCTTTTGGTGCTAAATCATGCTAAATCTCCTCAGACTGCTTCAGGTGGGCAAGAGCACTGTGACCAAGATTTTGGCCGACTACTTGGAAGTCAGCTACGAAGAGGACCAACATGGGAGCGTCATCACCATCACTGGACCCAAAAGTCTACGGTTGACGATTTGATTCGGAGTACGGTGTTGACTCATGCAGCACCAGTGGGCTGACTCCAACAGATGATAGCCAGCTAGCAGCTAATTGCTTTTGACCTTGAAAGGCATGATGAGCTTGTTGGTGGATAGCTATCCCAATTCCCCCCTCACCTTGACCATAGACATTCAATAGGAAAACCTATTGTGTAACCCTATGAACACCAGTTGTATCACATCTCGGTCGTTATGGAGACACTTGTCTTTGAGAAAAGTGGGGTGGTGATTTGCGACACTTGTCTTCCAGGACGATGGCCCTCGACGTTTACGCACGGTGCAGAACTCAACGGACTGGGAGGTCCATCGGTGACAGGACTCAACGGACTGCCCAAAGCAGAACTAACCACCTGGCACTGGTTTCAATTTCAACAGTGATATGTAAAACCTGCACTTGTCTTCACATCTTTCAGAAAAGAGCACTGGTTGGTCTATGCTTTTTTTTTGGCTGATGGGCCTAGCGAGTCACATAGTTAGTGAATTCTCATGAAATCACAACATCTTCAGACACGGCATGATTCATTCTTCGGAGCTCTCATGATTCATTCACATCGTTTCACTGCATAATTAGAACGAAAAGACCCCTGGAGCTGGACCCGTGGCACCCTTGCAAAGGGGCTTTTGTCTCCTTTGAGAGGCCAGAGGGGGAGCTTCCTCCGCGGGGGCACACCATGAGGTCCAAGGATGCTGGCCTCTTTCGGGAACCCCGCTGGTGGAGGCCGCGGTTTCCCGCGGTGGTGCAAGGGTGGAATGAAAATGGGGCCTATGACGAGCTGCGAGGTTGGCATCGCTTGCTTAGGCTTCATCAAGCCATTGATTTGCTGTTGGGTGTTGTAAAAGACTTGGGCTATTGCAAGCTAGATCCTATATAGGTGGAGGCCATCGCTAGTAGGTTGGTGACTTCGAGCCTTCTAGACTAGCCTTATGGTCTCCAATCTTCACCGGGGGTTTCTCCACCCGGGCGAATTCCGTCCCGACCTTGTCACGGGGCGGTGCGCCGCAGGTGCTTCTGTGGGACACGGCGCAGGACTTGCCAGATTTGATCACGGATTCCAGAGCAGCAACCGTGGGGCACACCCAGCGGCTGAAGGAAGCCTGACCGGTCGTCCTGAAGGAAGGAAGCGCCTTGAGGTTTGAGCATCGCCATGGAAGAACAGGGAACATCCATTTTTTGAAGTTGAACTGTTTGGAATTTTAGGAAGGGAAGGACATGAGTTGATGCTTGCATCAAGCAAGCGCCGGATTTGATCAGCAAGCAAGCGCTGGATATTGGTTGATCATGTTGGAATGGGGTCTACCGTGTCTACTTGTATGTGGTGGTGGTGGTTGTCGTCGGGTATGACTCTGTGTGTCCAGATCCCGTTCGATCGAACTTCCTCGCCCAGTTCGCGGTGGCCGTGGTGGATGGTGCAGACGGCAGCGGCAGTGCCATCGCTGCGGCCATGGCGCAGGGGTGTTGGGGGCGCCTAGGGGGCGCCCAGCTGCTTTTGGGTGATGGGTTTGTGTAGTGGATGGGCTTGAAGTGGAGGGTTCTGTAGGATTCTAAAGTGAAGTGACATGATGCTATAAGAGATGCTATGTGTTCATGTAGGATGGCGCTGTCACACAATTCATCCACTTCCATCCCCAACTTCAGTAGAAGAGTTTGGAGGCCCGGCTCAGCTCCTGCTCAAGGCGTCTGGAAAGTCACCTGTGTCGGCTTTGGTCGGGTCTAGTCTAGTCGCGACGCCTCGTCTTGTGCGGATTCTGGCCACCTAAGGCGTCTCTGATGAAGCGCAATCCACTGCCCCCAGGTGTGGGGTGTCAAGTCGTCGGGGAGGACGATCGATCGAGGTTGAGAGGTCACAGGTTGCGCGAAATTGAAGAGGTTACTTGCATGGAGGCATGCAACTCAGGTAAATGACTGAGGTATACGATCCTAAAGTATCCCAAAGTCATATTATGCATGAAAGAGGTCTTGAACATTTGTGACGACATATAGAGGGCCACAGATCCATGTGCATGCTGATTCCAAGGTCGTTATTCACGTGACATCGGAAACACCGCATCGCTCCAAGTTTGTTGTCCTCGCTCCAAGTCAGAAAGTCCCCCAAACCGCCGACCGCTGGGCGAAAAGCGACCAGGCGGGCGCTCATCGTGGAGAATTGCTTCCCAGAGCGCGATCTCGATGAGACCGAGACCAACACGACCGGGTGACACGGCATGGTGGATGGGCAGCTGCTGGGATTTCTGGCGGACAAAATAAGACAAATGTATACAAGTGTTTAAAACCAACAAGAAGAAGAAGAACAACAACAACAACTACTACTACTACTACAGCAGCAGCAACAACAGCAACAACACCAGCACCAGCAGCAGCAACAGCAGCAACAGCAGCAACAGCAGCAACAACAGCAACACCAGCAACAGCAACAACAGCAACAGCAGCAACAACAGCCACAACGACAACGACAACCACAGCAGCACAAAAAAAAACAGAAACAAACAACAGCAGCAACAACAACAGCAGCAGCAACAACAGCAACAGCAGCAACAGCAGCAACAACAGCAACAGCAGCAGCAACAACAAAAACAACATGCAACATAATCATAAATATGTTTACGAGTTGTTTCGCAGTTTCGACTCAAAAATGCTGAGAGTATGCTTTTTGCCGATATGTTGAGAGAAGTTTGTGTTCACAAAGACTGAAAGCCAAACACATACCTACACACAGACTGAAGCTTTGCTTGAAGTTTCTGCTCGGATGAAAGATGGGCTCACATGAAGGCAGTGACACTTTCGTTAAGGATGCCAGACACACCGCATGCAAGGCGATCAAGCACACATCCGTTGCTCCAGACCATCCAATGCAATGTCTTGGACGAGGTGTGGTTTGTTCGTACGAAAAGCCTTTGGTCTGACGAGGGTGTCATGTATTGGGTCCAGATCCACGCTCGGGTCCATCAATCCTGGATTCTGGGTGACGTAGCATGTGGGAGGTCATGTTTTGAACTTCGAACCTTTGGATGCGTGGAAGATGAATGGAACTTCACCTTTTTCTTGCAGAATTAGACAAAACGTCCACCTGTAGTGACTCTGGGGTATATAATTAGTTGTTAGTGCAACAGCGATAGCCCGTCTCTTGAAAAAGGTTGTTTTGTGCAAAAATATATGTTAAAATTGTAAGTTCAGCTGTCAGTACAGTGTATTCACTTTTGTTTTGCTGGCGATGGGACATTTGCACCATCAATCATCACGAGTGCGGCTCGCCTCCACGCAGGAGGGGCAGAACTCGCTGAAGAAAGTGTTTGGGGGACTCAGCTGGGTGTGCGACATATGTGACACTGCAAATCACTGCAGCAAGTGATCTCGGCAGATATCAGAGTTTGTGGACCCCAGCTGCTTGGAAAACATTCCAGGTTTCTTGTTCTGGGGTTCATTCCCCCACTCTGACGGGTTGTTTGAACTGATGAAGGCCGTTCATCACCTGGAACACCAACGAACAACATGTCACACCAAAGACTTCCTTTCAGACGGCCATCGTCTCAGAGCCCTGTCTCACCCACCCCACTCCACGGATACACTCTTCTTCTCCCAAGTGAAGAGGAAGTCAATGGAAGTAATGACAGCGATGGCGACGCGTCGTTTTCAGGTTCGGCAAGATCATGGCGGAGATGGTGGGGCAGATCGAGGCGACCTGGCGCCGGCGTGCGGGAACGCATGCGTCGGCACGGAATAATTGGAGCTCAGAGACGTTAAAATGAAAGGAAGGATGTTTTGGTGAAGAATTCAGGGTGCACAGTCCTTGAGTTTCATGATGTGTTCATCAAGTCTATCCGCCCTTTGAAGATCTTGGAAGGTTTAAAAGCCTGGAGGTTGACCATGTCCAACCTATTCAGTTCATGGTCGGTCCACCGGGGGTCCCCGTTGGTGACCGTGGACCCTGTCAGGCACGGCAGGAGGCCTCCAAGTCCGTGGAGAAGCCCTTGCAGCCCTGTGGCCAGGCGGGCAGCAGCTACACTCTGATCCACACATGAAAGTGGACAATTGGCGAATAATAGAGACCAATAGGTGGGGAGTCGTGTGGGGAGTCCTGGACTCATAGATTGACATGAATTCGATGGTCATTCGTGTTCACCAAGCTGTTCACTAGTTGGAGTTGCATGATACCTGTTGTAAGGGTGAAAGTGGTCGGTTGTTGACCAAGGATGTATACCAAGTCGGAGCTCCAATGCCAGAGTTGAAGGGGCCCGGTTCCATGACCATCCTCAAGAGGTTCCAGTTCCTATAAAATAAACATATGCTACCACATGTTTGGTCCATATTACTTTGCTAACCAACATGACCGTTCACTCTGCATTTGACCGCTCGCCTGGGATTGTGTGCAACAGGGAGACTTTCGCGAGGCGGGCCTGCTGCTGAAAGTCAGGGTTTCTGGGAAGGAATTGAAATGAGGATGTTCATAGTTTGTGTTCACATGATTTCAACTGTGTTTAACGTTTTCCCATGGATTCTGGATTCCTATACATTCCTATTGGTATATATGATTGAGATTGATGGTTGTTCAAATAGGCTTTGCATATGTGCTTTCAGACTTTGATTGCTGTATGTGCAAAAGAATAGACTGACACCCTATTAATAAAAGGCTTGGCAGGGATTATGTGCATGTTTGAACTGCACGAAACCAATGTCAACATGTTCAATACATCGTGCAATTGGAATGGTTGACACACTGACTCTGAAAAAGTCTTTCAGACACTTGATTCCACAGTGGGTGCGGGTCGAACCCACATTCAAGGACGAAGACCATCCGGATATGGCTGGCAGATGACATTCTCTAATTTGAGAGTCTGAGCTTTGATTTCCTAATTTGACATCCCCAACCCCCCTAAGCTAGATGAACATCCTCTAACTCTGATGTTTGCTTCACTCATTTTCGCTTGGACGCGGAAATTGTGAAAAGTCCAGGTCTTAGCCAGGGATTCCTCGCTCCCATGCAGCGCGCGAAAGCCTTTGGGCCGACGCGCCCACGCGTGGGGCGGCTCAGGGATTCGCTCAGGGAAGCTCTTCAGAGATTGGGGATGCATGTTGGGTCTGCCAGTTCTTCAACCGTATCCACGGAGGCCTTCCAGTTCAACCCATTTAAGGGTCTTGCCATTTGAAGATCCAAACACATCAAACAATCAGAGGTGATTACAAAGAACTCCAACTGACATGTTCGAACCAGCATTCATCACTACGTACCATTTGGCGCCAAGATGAGTTTCTCCAGCAAACACCGTGTTAATTGTGTCCAGTTTCTCCACTCACCGGCCAAGTCTCAAGCTTACCTGAACTGGCCAAGTGTCAAGGTTTGGGGAAAGGATTTCAAGTGGTGAGAAGACATTCTTTGATTCTGAACAATCTGGAACAGACCTCAAGCAGCACTCACCCCACCGTCAGAATCGTGAAAGAGGCAATACTTAAAACATTCTGAGGCTCAGATTTTCTCCAAAGATTCTTCACTGAACTCACCATGAAAAAACACGAAGCAGGTGAGAGCTTGCGCCCTTTGGGCCTCGCGTCTTTGACTCCGACACCCGGGTCGCCTCCGAGTGCTTCGACAGGTACCGCTTGCGAGGTCTCTCGATGTGCGTCGATCCTGTGGCCACTGGGACCGTCGGTCACAGCGAGGTGACGGGCGTCGGAGCGGCGGCGTTGCGGACGGGGCGGTGATGGGCGTGAGGGCTCCATGAGGCTCTCTTTGAAGGTTCTGGGCATGGCGAGGCATAGGGGCACACGCATCCGCACCAAAAAAAAAGAATCGATGATTGGGAGGTCCTTCCTTCGTTCCATTTGACTTCTATACTAAGATCTGCTAAGCACCAGTTAGTGTGTTTTTTTTTTTTCTCTTTCTCTTGTTTCCCAAGGATTCTTGGAGCACGGGTGGGTCACCTTGTTTCTTGTCACCTGCCTGGAGTGGACGGTAGTGATTCTTCACAGCTGGATTTTTGTGAACTTCAAGAACTGGAGAATCACATACCTGGACCCTCCAAGGGGTGTCCAATGGACTACCCCACACTACCTATAGAGGCTTCCAGACAGGGCACCCCGACAGCAGGGTCCTGGTAATTACTTGCTTGTTCATATGATTTGGTGAGAAGCAAGTATATAATTATAGGTTTTGAATGGTTTTGACAAAATCATGTTAGAAACCAATGCATGTTCCTTTCGGTTTGGATCGTCCCGCTCGGCCGGAGCACCTACCGCACCGCCCCACGCCACGCCTCGGTGGCTGAGGCTGCTTCGATGGCCTGGCAAGCCTTGCAAGCCGCTCGGAGCACCCTGCCACACGAGGCGAGGTACCCAACTGGGTGCGGGTGCGGGTGCGGGTTTGGTGGAAAGGGTTAAGGATGGTCCAACTTCTCTCGTTCTATACCTTCCTTTGCGCACCATCCACAACGTGTCTCATTGTTTCTTACTCGTGGGTTTGGCTTCATTTGGCTTATATAGATGAGTCCTGTGTCATCGGGAGTTTCAGTCATGAATCCAGGCCTATAGGGCTATGTAAGGCTAAAGCATTTTTGGTCCCATGATGTGTTCAAACGTTTTCAATATGCCCAGCTTTTCCTCGCAGAGACATATAGCCCCAAACGCGCTCCAGGTGCAGAACCTCACAGGTTCTTCTCCTCCCTCCAGTTCCTGGCGATCGGCACTGGTGGCTCCGGAACCATTGCAGCAGACCCTGCAGATGGGCGAAGCAGGCCACGCGGGTTGGACATGGTTGGGGCGGCAAGCGCTTGGCCCAAGGAGGAGATGACAAAAGGATAGAAAAGGGATTAATTGGTTGTTTCAATGTTGAATGAAGCATGGAACATCATGGAACACTGTGCTTTTTGGGCATTTTGCTCATGACTCGTCACCAGGGCAGAGGTTTTCCACGCTCATGTTTGAGAACTCCAGGGTGAGAGGTGGGGAGAGTGAAGAGAAATTATCAGAAATTGATGAAGACTGGGGATCCATCGTGATCCAGTTTTGAATCTGGAGATCCACTGAGCCTAGCATTTACTTTGAACCAACTGGTCCTAGTACTGCACACACCGACTCATGCTCTTGAGGTGTGAGTGGCGAAAACTTGTCGGCCGGGAGCCTCAGCAGTGGCCGGTTGCGTTTGGAGTCTGAGTAGATCTGTCGATGGCGCCCAAATCGAACGCTCTGAAACCGCTAGAAGAACGTAATCACAGGGCCTGGTGAACCGTGTTGAACGCATCGGCTTGGGTGGTTTTTGCAAGCGGCTTCGAATGCCTTCCTGCTGAAACACCATGTCAAACCCGCATGCTTGTCCATGGGTCATAAATGGGGTAAATCTATGTATATACTGTAATTATTCCAGTCCCATGGACGAGGAGGGATGTGTCAATCATTGGGGAACATCATCCACTAAGCCGTTAAAACCCACTCCACTACAGTCACTATATTTCACCCACTCACAGAGCTGAAGTGTCTCAGCCTCCCACCTCCTCCGCGCGTCGACCGTCTCCGCTCCGAGGCGACCCTGCGGAGGGCCTTGCTGGAGCTCAGTTTGATCTGTTGGAACGCCCAGGAGCTCGTGCCCGGAGCCTTTTTTTCCTGTCAGGTGAGGGCTGTTAGATTTTATGTCAGCTGCCGTCCTCATCCTCGTCCTTTTCGTCCTCCTCGTCCTTTTCGTCCTCAACCGCGAGTTCTGGCTGTTATCCTTGTCGGACCTCAACCAGCACACAACCACAAACACAATCACATACACACAACTACAAACACAACCACAAACACGTCCACAAACACACAATTCACAACTACAAGCACGCAAACACAACCAAACACACAATTATTACAAGCACACAAACACAACCACAAACACACAACCACAAGCACAATCACAAAAATAACCACAAGCACGAACACAACACACGACCACAACACACAACCACAAAGACACATTTACAGCACACAACCACAGCACACACCCACAGCACAACCACAGCACACAACCACAACAATCCACAACACACAACCGCAATCACAGCACACAACCCAGGACCAAACAAAGTCGAGAACCACAAAATACTCACGACCGTGGCAACATGCTCCTCACCGCCGCATGAAGACGTTGAAATGTCATGGTGGGGATCACTTCTTTCGTATTTTGGTTCGACCCGGTGACATGGACAGCGGGCGACACAGGTTTTGCCAGGGTCGAGGTGAAGTGAGGTCTGACTAGCTCGCTATTTGCTTCAAGGCCATCGCTTAGTGCCATCGCTATTCGGTTGGAGGCCATCGTTTCTAGGTTCGGCTTAGGCTTTGGCTTTCATGGTGTTGCAAAGGTTTTGAGCACCTTCGCTACCCTCGGCCTTGAGGTCCAGTGCAAGCAGGAAAGGACGCCTCCGTCGGGACGCCGCGGTGAGGTTTGGGTGTGCAACGGTGAGCAATGTGTAGACCCAGACAGTCCATGTAGGAATAGTTACTGTAGCTACATGGATGGGTGATACATTGGGTAAGTGTATAGATAACAGCATGTAATGTTCATGAATTTTCTATGCTGCATAATTGTGGATGGCCTGGGAGGAACGGGAGAAACGCCTTGCTTTTTTGCTCTTCTCGGTAGTGCCGTATCTTGTGAATCCGAATCAGATTTATCTGACTTCGGTCACCGAGTGCATGGGCGTTTGTTGAAGCTCTTCCCCCCGCGCCGCGTTGGGTTTCAACGGGTGCATGGATCACACCCAACGGGTCCAAAAGCAGTTCACTCTTCGTTTTCGTCTATAGAAGCTGCCTGTCTACACCACACCTGTGACTGCCTGGGGAAAACATCCCAAAGCTCCACACACCTTTCCTCATCCACCCGAACAGAAAGTAAAGCTCCACATGGAAACACCACCCGGCGGACGCTGAGGTCCTGGTGCCTGACTTTGCGGAGAGGATCAACATCAGCCCCTGGGAGCGATCGTTCACTCGCTAGAGAGGTTGAGCAGCCCACACTGTAGCAGCCCACACTGTAGCAGCCCGTCATGCCATAGGGCCAGGGTCTGTCATGCGGTCTGAGTCAACCTCTTTTACTACGAAGCCAATGGCAAGTTCCATATATACGAAATATATGTGGAAGTTCCAGGTGTGAAACAGGCTGTGAATCAGAAGGGCACGAAAACTATCACGAAAACCTCAGGTGCTTCGATGGTGCGGCAACTCTTGGACAGTCCCAAGAGCATCTTTCTGCGGCTCGTGTGGTCCAGCCACTTGGATTGCAATTCCGGCCACGCGTACGGCCACGGAGCCCATATGAGCCCATCGATCTACTCACTGAGTCGACGGATTTCACGGATCTGTCGACGTGGAGAATTGGTGCTTCAAATTGGTTTCAGAGGCATTTATCAGACCCACAAAGCCGACAAGGCTTGATCAGTTGATGTTACTATCCGGAGTTGGATAGTATTTACATAGAAAGAAGCCCAGGATCAAGATGGATAGCGTATCAGTTGTGGATGTGAAGTTCCCCACACAGTTCCTAGAGAACCTGTAAGGGTGTCATGAAGAAGAAAGGGTTTTCCAAAAGTCTGTTGGACAGCAGCTTTCTTGAGCCAAAGTCTATGTTTGTTGCACTGCTTCCTGCGCCCCTGTCCTGTCAACCTCTAGTTGGCCCTCGTGCGCCAGGAGAGAAGCACTCGGCCAGGGCTCCACCGTCGCTGCGCCGTGCTCCAGTCTGCATGCGTCGAGGGGGGAGGGGCGCGCCAGGAGGAAGGGATGGCAGAAACATCGGGAACACAACGAGGATCAACGAGGTGATGCGGGTTGGTTTTACCACGGACAGTTTCCACTCTAGAAATTATACATGGTCCTTGTCAGCTTCAATAGATTCAGTTTGGTTGGACAAAATTGAACCAAGGGACCATAAGGGACCTTCGGAATATAGTATATACCTCAATCGTCCTCCAATTTCCGGATGTGGACTGCAGGACTCAGGATGTTGAAAAGGTCCACTCATTGGCCAGACTGTAAAAGTCTTGAAAAATGATCAAGTAATTAGACTTCGAGTCACGTCAATGAGATGAATCATTGAATCAAGATTAGTGAAACATAAACATTTGTTCAAGACCTTGTACTTGTACAGCTCTACAGTGTACAGTATTTAGTTTATATTTAGTTCATATCGTCCTCTTCGCCCCGGCACAAGTCCATCTCCCCTCTCAGCCCTTTCGCTCCCAGGAACGCTCCGGAAGTTCTTCTCGCTGACCTCCCGTCCCTTCGTCCTCCGCTACTTTGCCCGCTTGGACGGCCAGTCCGCGTTCCCGCCCGAGATCGGCGCGAACTCGCCCTCGCCCGAATGCACCGAATGCAGCGTCATGCGGGGTGCACAGAGAGTTGGATTGGATAGCGATTTGGAGCCTGGGTTTATCCTGGCCTTTGACGCTCGGCTGAGTTGGGGGGGGCGTCCTGGGGTTGCAGGCAAGGGGGCACAGTTGGACGTTTCGGTGGGTTCTAGAAGCTGGATGCAACAGCGCAATCCGGTTCTACGAAGTGATTTTGCGAAGTAGAGTTGGCTCATGTTGGCTCAGTGATCTTAGAGTGCACCGACAGTGAGATGGCTGGAAGGCCCGTCGGATCGACGATCGACCTCCTTGGAGCTCCATAGAGCTTGCAGGTGGAGGTTCCCATTCGATCATCCCTAGTTGCCAGCCAACCAGTTCGCCTACACCCACTAGCCGCTAGCTGTTTCAGTGTGAAGCCCAATGGTTGGCGGTGAGTGAGCAGATCACCAGTTGAAGGTTATGAGATCAAACTCTTGTGGCTCGGATCGATGCGGCAGCACCGTGGAGATCCACGATTCGCCCGCCATCCCCAATGCCATGCTGTGGACCCACCACGAACTGCCTTAGGAACTGAATCTTAGGGGGATGTTGGCAGTGGGCTTTAGTCCCCAAGACTTACAGTATACTTGGCGACCAGTAGGGCGACCCAATCTTATCCAACTCCTATTTCCCTACCTGTTTGGACATATCGAACATGACATGCCCACATACTTCTGCACAGCTTCTTCATGCCAACCCATCTTCCTGCGCCCCCGACTCCCAGACAGGCCTCCAAACCACTCAGGATTCTTCCGTGGACAGCCCCGCACACCTGGACCAGACGGGCCATTCTTCCGTGCCAGGCGTCGAGACGCGGTCGCCCGAAAACGAGTCGAGGAACGGCCGCAGAACTGGTGAGTCACGTCCTTTCAAACGGCGCAACCCGACCCAACGACCAAACGTGGCCGTGCAACATCGGACCCGGGTCGACCGATCCTCACGGGGTCGTTCTTGCACCGGTGTTTTCGCGTTCCTTGATGGCTTTTGAAGCAAATTCTGCACTACACCGGAACCACCCTGAAACTGGTGAAAACTCGAGCTCTTTCTCAAGTGTGTCGTTTTTTGGTGTGTGTGTGCGTTTTTGTGATGTGTGTGTGTGTGTGTTGCTTCACCTGTGTTTATTTTGTGGTTAATGGTTTTCTAGTGTTTTTAGTTTGTTTATTTAGTTTTTAACAATATTGGTCTTGTGTGTTGTGGTGGATGTGTTTGTTCATTGTTTTGTTGGGTGAGAAAACCATGTGTGACTTATGTTTTTTGTCTCTTGGTTTTGTGGTGTTGTGTTTTGATGGTTTTCTTGGTTGTCAGGTGTCAGTGTTCTTTTTATGTTGTTTTTGTGATATTTGTTCTTTTGTATTGTTTGTTTAATTTCCTATATATGACATGTTTGTTTGTTGGTCTTGAGGTGTGTGTGTGTGTGTGTGTGTCACCCTCTGTTTCTAAGAGTTTTAGTCTCCAGACCAGCAGGGGGGGCAATCCCACATTGCAGTTGATTGCCCAACGAAGAGGGCTGCAATTGTGGCTGATATCACTGGAAAGGACGCTTTCCAGACGTACCTGCACTCAACTTTTGATCAAGCTGTGCTACTCTCAGTTTGCTTCATGGTGGTTGCTCACGATACCTTCCCCTCAAACAGGTTTCCCTCCGTCGTTCTGCAGCTGCTGACTTGCGAGAGTTTTTCCAACCATCGTTTCAACACTTCAAGTGCTGTTGCCGACTCAGCCACCGTGCGTTTACCTCATTCATTTCCGCGGGGAGTTGATGTAATTGTAATTGCAAACCCATTGTCTAAGTGTGTGAAACCCTTGGAGTCACAGGGATTCCTTCGAATATGCGTCTTTTTGAAACGTTGTGCATGCTTTTTAGAGCAGGGGGCACAGGCCCATCGTGGATACCTGTGCCAACGAAGCTGTTCCATGATGGGGGAAGCGGAGACTGATCACCTCTGTGTAACCGCTGGAAATTGTGGCGTTTGGTATGCAACTATGCTCTCCTCTAGATGTCAGGCTGGTTAGGTACCGACAGGTCTGCAGACATGTGCTCGTCGATCCCTCGCTGGCCGCTTTTCGAGCTGATGAAGAAGGTTGGTTCTTGGTTGGTTTTACCTTGCACCTGACGTCTCAGCCTTTCATACCTAGGTGGGCGTGTGGCATGCGGCATTCAATTTCCGTACGCAATATCTCAAGTGTGTGGTTGGTTGGTTGGTTGTTTATATTTTGTTTTGTTCTTGTGGTGTGTGTTGTTGTTTGTTTTTTCCTCCTGGTTGTGGTATTGTTTTGTTTCTCTGGGTGTCCGGGCGTGCGTGTTTTATTCTCAGAAAGCCATCTTTTTTTTTTTTTAGAAACTTTAGAAATTGAGTGGTGGTAATACGTTTGACCTATAGACATTCTTTGTCGCATGGTGCCAAACCAGCCCAAATCAGCAGAACATGAGAGAGCCCGACGGTATAGCGACACCGACCCAAGAAACCAAGGATAATTGCCTCGTTGTAAAGCCCCCAAACCTACGCACTGACGTGGTGGGAGAGGGTGGGGAGATGCGGATGGCACCCGTGTGCCAGCTTCTCTACCGGGGTTCCTAGAAGTGTTCCTAGATAGGCTCAACTATGTGTGTTGCAAAAAATGACCACTTTTAAAGACCTCCCTAGCTACTAGTAGCGCCCTTGCTACTAGTAGCGATGCACTTGCGATGCACTTCTTACTAGTAGCGATGCACTTGCTACTACTGCCAAAGTCTTCCAACACTCTTAGTTCAGCAGGCTTAGCGGATTTGCTGGCAGCACCAGCCTTGGGCCTCACCTTTTTGCTGGTGATGGCCGGCCCAAATGACACCTGGGATGTGCTGCTCGGCAAATTGAATGTCTTCGGCGGCTACGACACCTTAAGGATCATTAGTGAGGCTGATCAAATTAGTGAGGCTGATCAAAGATTCCAATATATTCCAATGCCCTCACTTGTGATTCTGCGGTTAAGATCTTCGGCCACTAGAGTTCCCAGCCAGTCAGCCTGCCAAGGCTTTCCAGTGGTCCAAAGGCCACCTGGGCCTGGCGCGCCTTTGCATCGCACCTCCCGAAATTCACGGGGCTCGTCCCAGCCGCTGCCGCGCGCGGCACGCGCCGCGCGGCCGAAGACGCCGCACGGCGGACACCGGCGCCGCGCTGGGCGCTGCGGGTGCAGAGCGGAGCTGCTGCGGGGGCCGCGCTGTCCTTGGAGGAGATGTTGGGGAGAAAAACACGTGTATGAAAAGCAGAAGGCGTAGATCTCTAGGTCCAGAAAAACTACTGTCATTTACTGTCTTGAAACCAACACGTTTGTGTGTAATCATCTCTTTGAGTTCCCTTTCCTTTTCTGAGACCAGCATTAAGGAAAGGAACTGTACGCACAGCGACAAAAGTATGGGTTGCACATGGTTTCACTTGGTTTCACCATTGAGACACAGGACGGAAACTGAATTGCAGGGAAATATATAGATCGACTTGTTTCTTGTTTGGACAATTCATTATCAGATACTGTACTTCAAATTGATGTACCAGGAGTCACATGTCGGGGTGGTTTTTAGTCCCTATAAGTGAGTGGATGTTGGATGTTGGCACCTCTATCCTCCAACACCCACCCTGACATGTGACTCCTGGGTTATCGGTTATTGTTTTATGTCCACCACATGTTACATCCAAGTCAATACCACCACGATCCAGGGTGGATCGTTTTTTGACAGACCTGGACCAGCACTTCGGCAGGAGCTCGCCACGACCGCCTGGCTTTTGGCCGGTCCTCAGTCGAAGGACGTGCGGGACAGTCACCTGGCGGACCTGGGGAGGCCGATTCGAAGTGTACGTCGCCGAAACCGCCATCGAAACGCTTGGTGCACTTGTTCGGAGTCGGGTGCACCAAAGCATGTGTTTTTTTCAATGTTCTTTGTCAGGGTCGTTCATAAGATTCCATGTACCAGGACCCTCCGAGAGGCTTCTACAAACAGCCTCTTAAGCAAAGTTACTACTAGAGACCTCTTAAATTTTAGGTCTGAGATTTCCTGAATCTTTGAGGTTTGAAAACAGATCCACCCTGGAAGTTCTGAGGTCCCATAACAGAGCTCGCGTGCCTGGCGAGTGGGCTCGAGGGGTGGTGGTGAAGATTTGAGACATGGTCTCCACGTCTTACATGATCAGGGTATATCCTGCTACGAACCGGCTCCCAAAATAGAGACAGCAAAACAAATCGATCAATTTTGGATTTGACTTCCTTCCTAGCTTGGACTGCCATGGGGAAGCAGCCAAGAGCTTTTACAAGTGCAGCTCAGACACTTGGTGCAAATGATGAGGGATACTCCACTAAGAGTTTGATTACCAGGTTGCTCCCTCATCGATTAAATCTAAGGACCTTGGCAAAGGCATTGATAAAAAGGGTGGATCCAGAAGAGGTTAAGAAGAAGAACGAGTTATGCCCTGGTGGTGATATCCGTGTAAAAGGAAATCAATGGGTGAGAGCAGCCTGGCGCGACTGTGGCCTGGATCGTGTTTGCAGGGAAGGTCAAGTCAGGGAGGCCATCAAAAAATTGATCGCCAAAAGGAAACTTCGTTTCAATCTTAGTCATTATTGAATTGAGAATAAGTGCATTCATGTAGGCTCTGTCATTCCTATTATGTTGTGATGAGGTTTCGGAAAGGATGATGATGAGTTGGAACTTTGGATTATAGAACAGGTCCCTTACAGCATTACAGTACACGTGCGTTCTTTGCTCTTGGCATGGTAGTGCTAAGGCTTCCCACAGATCTAAGGCTGTTCGATGCCATCAAGTAATGTTGCAGCACCAAAGGCAGAAACGTTCTGGCAATCCTTTTATCTCACCGGAGTCAAAGGCCAAAACAAAGACTGAGAAGCTTTACTGAGTTGCAGGTTTGGGTTGTGGTTTTGGGGTCTTTGATGACACTGTTTGTCATCTGGCCATCCCAGGAAAAGCTCATCCCATCAATCAATCGATGACGTGGACACCTTGCCGACGGATATGATGACAGATATGATCCCAGCATTCAATTTTGAGACCAGGTTCCTTGGAAGAAGCTTTTGAACAGGAAAACAACTAACAAACAGAACCTGACGTACTCAGGAAGGCTGGCACGAATGATCATGATGCAAACACTGTACCTGTACCTGAAGTGATACTTTTGGTGTGCTTTCTATTTTTGGCGTTTGCTTTTCTATTTATGACTTTAAGGGGTTGGAGGTTACCAGGTTGCCTTTTTTGGCTTGGGGGGGGCATCTCTGTTCTTTTTTCACCGATTCCCCATCTCTGCCTGGTCCACCTTTTTTCGTGAATGCATTCCCTCCGAACCTGAATCTCCTGGCTCAATTTGCAATGATAAGGAACATGAAAGGGCTGAAGAAAGTGAAGATGAAGTTGAACGGAAGGCTGGGGAAGAAGAGGTGCATCAGGATGGTGGCAAAAGTGGAGAAGAAGCAACAGATGGTGAGGAGGAAAGCAACAATGCAGAAGATGGTGAGGAGGAAAGCAACAGTGGAGAAGAAGCAGAAGATGGTGAGGCGGAAAGCAACAATGGAGAAGAATCACCGGAGAACTACAATGCAAAGATTGAAGATGAGGAGGAAAAGAGAGGAGCCAATGAGAACCAGCCAGGTGAGGTTCCATCAGGGCAAGGTCCTGGGGAGGCAAGTGCGTCAGGATCTGAGGCTTCAAGTGAGGAATATGAAAAAGAAGGAGACGAAGGAGTGGCAGCGAAAGCTCAGGAGGCAAGTGATGATGACGATGAAGAAAGCCGAGAAAGCTCGGATGAAGGAGCAAGCAACAAAGGAACACAGGATTTGGGCGATGATGACGAGGGAGATGGAGAAGTGGAGTACACACATGCAGCCATGGAAGAAGTTAACCTGTCTGTCCGTGAAGGTGAAGAGTCGCTGCATGAAGACAAAGAGTGCAGGACAAGAAATGCTGACGTAGATCCAGGAGATGAAAATGGAGAAGAAACAGAGGACGACTGCAGTGCAAAGGATGAAGATGATGAGGAATAGGGACAGCACAAGAAGGAAACCGATGACCAAAGACAGGATGAAGAGGATCCAGGTGAGAAAAGTGCTGAGGTGGTGGAGGACAAAGGATCTGAGGATTCAAATGATGAAACTGAAGCATCAGGAGATGAGAGGGGGGCATGTGAATCAGCAAATGAGTTGGTGGAAGCGTCGCCAAGGACTCCTCGGGAGGTGGATCTCATGAATGAAATTGAAGAGCTAAGACAATGGATTGAGGAGCAGGAAGCCAGAAAGAGGGAGAGAAGGGCACTCGTGGAGACTGCCAACTCTGTGGCTGAACTCGCAGAAGGAAGTTCAACATCCAAACACGTGGAGGAGGCAGAGGAAGAGAACATGACAACAGATCCAGCTGACCAGGAGGAGGACGATGATGATGATGACGATGATATGCAGGAGAAGCCACAACCCAAACCTAGACCAAGTCAAATGTTGAATGGGGTGAATCCGCAGAATTCGGATGAGGTGGAAGTGGACACCCCTGAATTTGATGGGAGAAACTGACTTGGAAGGTGTAGAAGATGAAGATGATTCAAACGGGGGTGGAGATGAGGGGAGGAATGACCATGAGAGTGGAGAGGAAGAGGAGGGAGAAGATGATCACACAGATCCTGATCCAGATCCCGGTAGATCAGGAGATGAAGGTGAGCCCCAGTCTGACCAGGATGAACAAGAGATGACTGCTGGCAAAGAAGAGACACATGAATTAGAAGCTGGAACATCCCCACCGCACGACCAAAGCAAACCAAAGGAGGTTGAGGAAGGTGAGAAGAAGGACGAAGAAGAGGAAGAAGAGGGGTACAAAGCTGATGTATCAGAGGCAGAAGATGCAAGTGAGCAGGAAAAGGAAAATGAAGAAGAACATGTTGCGCACAAGAAGAGTGCCAAGAGTGAGTGTGAGCGTGTGGAAAAGTCTGGGGGGACTTCTTGCAAAGAAGTGAAAGAAGAATCTGAAAATGCACAGGTAGAACAGGATGATGACAATGAAAAACAATCCAGCTGTGGTGTGTCCAGCTCGTCGTCCAGCAGCACTAGTGTCAGCATCAGTGAGGATGAAAGTTCAAACGAAAGCAGTGCAAATGAGGCTGATGATGATGGCAAGAAAAAGACCAGTGATCATGAGGGTGATGATGCTGGCAAAAGTGAGGCTGGTAGATTTCATATCCGTCGGCAGTACCCGAAGACCAACATCAAGAGATGGACTAGAACAAGATTCTCCACCCCTTTCATAGCTTCAGTTCGCAGAATGCGAAGGATGCGACAAACCACGATCCCTGAGTATATATCAGTGGCCTAATTATGCCCAACACGTTTTGTTTTTTTGCCTACAGTATTTATGTGCTTCGATATGTTTTGTGGATGCGCAGCAGCTTTGTTGCACAAGTCTGCACAGCCATTTATGCACGCAGGTCCCACGTCAAAAGTCAAAGGATCTCGAGCAATCTTTGGATGATGCCATGGAAGCACCGCAACATAAGGAGAAGCGGAAAGCTCCACCAGATCCCCCGTTGAGACGGGTCCGCCAAAAGAGCAACTTGCTTTCCAACATTTGCAACCTTTTAACTTTAACCTTTGATGCTTGATCTTAGACTACCTGTGGGGTTGTGGGGTCGTACATGTATCTCCTTTGGCCACCTGCCCTGACCGTCATCTCCTGTGATCACAGGTTCACAATGCCAAGCCTCTGCCACCAGCAAGCCCGACGTGAAGGAGGAAGAGGCCTGCAATATCTGGGGGAAAAAAACATGTTTCTTGATCATGTTTGATTTCTTGTCCTACTGAGCACAAAATGGGTGTCCTCCTCCAACTCCAAAGACATTCTTAGCTCATGTTCATTGACTTTTTTGCAGGATCTAAGCACAAAGGTCCAAAAGAAAAAGAAGGGTGTGGAGAAGAAAAGCTTGCTGGAGACGGTGGTGATTGAGGACTCCATGGTCCTATGTGGGGCTCGCTTCAAGTTTAGAATTGCGAAGGTGCAACAAGAGGCCTTGAACAGTGCAAGTGGACATCTCCCACAGCCCTCGAGACAACTTGAGTTGGTAAGCCAAAAGAGACAAAAGAAAACCCGTGGTCGTGGGCACCCTGCTTGCACTCCCTTCCTTATTTTGGAATGTAACTTAGTCCTTTGCTCCCACTGATTGAGATTTTAATCATTTGATAAGATGGTAACACAATGGTACATCATCTAAGGCAGTATGAGCTTATCGAAAAGCTTGTGGTGCAGGACTGGAAGGTGGAGATTCGAGAAAGGCTAGAAGGTGCACACAAGGGGGACCTATACAATGTGTTCGTGGATGCTGACAACAAGCCATTCTATACCCTGAAGCATGGCTGCAATGAGTCTGAATCAGAAAGCAATTTGTTTGTGCACTTGCTGTTTTGTGGTTACCCTCAAAACCGTGCAAAGGAAAGCTGCCAAAGAAAAAGGATTCAATGATCTTCAGGGAAAGTTGAAGGAAGCGAGGAATCGGTTTCTTGGCAGTGTTGTTGCTACCCTCGTGAATCCTTAAAACACTTGTTCGGAAACACTTGTTCGACAGTATCCCAGATTGATCTAAGGTTGAAAGCTGCGGGGAAAGTGTCTAAGGACGAGAAGGGCGCTAAGGCTAAGGTGAAATCTGAGCCTTCGGAGTCAAGGAAGGGGAAGGTCAAGAAGGGACCCAAAGCGAAGTAATATGATACATGTTTGAAACGACACATTTGTCTTGAAATGGAGCTGTTGCTTTCGGAGCCGCCTTGGGGGTTACTGGTGAAAAGCCAGTGCTGGTTGTCCACACAACCAGTGAATCTTTTGTCAGCAATTAGATGGCCACTGTTGTGCGTTTGGTTCCGATGGCCCTCACATATCAAAGACTGCAACACAAGTGTTGGGTTATAATGCAAGTGTTGGGTTCATTGATAGTTCGAGAGTATATAATGGCCTTTGTGAACAGGTCGGTGCAGTCCCAGTGGCTTGAATCAGAATGATTTACTGTAGATCGATCTCACCAGCCTTGATCGACTTGGGAAAACAATCACAGCCTGGCCTGCAACTTTTGGAGAGCTGTACAGGAAGCCACACAACCACCTGCAGTGCAATTGCAAGTTGGACTTTGTTTCTTGTGAAGTGCGCAGCAGGTTTTTGGATGGCAGGGTGCGGCAGTCTGCGGGGTTAGGCTGATGGATCCCAAACAGTTGCTTCTGATCCTCAACTTCATTGCGCAAATACCTTTTCCACCTGCAGAACAAGCCTTGGATGCTGCCCCTGATCATGAATACAAGTGAGTCACATGAGAATTAACAAATATGTTTTTGGAAGCAGTGTGAATAAACAACCAAAACACCTTAGTTGACTTGCCACGTGAACACTTTCTTGAACTCAGGTTGAGATTTGCGCAGGACAGGGGGAACTGACCCGAGCCCTGAAAGATTGTGGCATGCGTGCCAAGGGCTTTGATGTGGCCAGGCTTCAAGTACATTACAAACAGCTCAACAGACTTTGCATGGAATTGTATGGACTGCCCAGGTTCGCTACAGTCAAAATCACAATCTTCTACGAACTGTTGGATTCCTTGCAATGATCTGTGCAGTGCTTCTCTTAGCCAACGTGTCTTTTTGTGGAAATGGCATGTCCGAGTCTGCTGAAGATCCTGTATTTTTTTGTGGTGAGGTGAGAAACATTCGGAGCAAGGGACTTCTGTTTGTGGCTCCTCCATGTTCGAGCTGGGTGTTCCTGCAACTTGCCATAAAATGTATATCACACGACAATACCTGCCACAAAGGTTCAGGAAATGAGAGCTGAGACAACATATGGTCATCTTGATCAGGTCGCAAGGAACCACTCTTCGGAGCTGGTGGAATCCTGAAGGTGGTCAACATAAGTCAGTGGTCCTCTCCAACATCTTCGTAATGCGGATGATGTATATGTTTCTGGGTTTTTGTTCAGCAAAAAGGTAATCCTTCTCATCTCTTCGGAATTCTGTGCTGGCTGAGGCTATACTATGCCCACATGCGAGGGGTATATTTTGCAATAGAACAACCGATGTCATCACTGATGTTTATTTGGCCACCACTCCAAAGATTCCTCAACTTTGCTGGTGCAAGGATCGGTGCATGGATTTGCATGGCTATTTAACATGTAAACTGGTGCCCTGTCTTAAACATGAACTGCAGGAGAGTTTGCTTTCCTATGGGCAGCTTCGGTGCCCCAACTCTCAAATACACAGTGCAGCTTGCCTTAATGGTTTCAATGTTTCAACTGAGTGATGAGCCTGTTAACACTTGCACATTGTGTGGAGTCCAGGATCTGGACAACCCTCCCGAACGCCAACACACTTCGCCGGGCCTTGGACATCAAGCAATTGAGATCTCTCCTTGCGAGGACCAGAGCTTCAGTGCTGGATGTGGGTTTTCTCCTTGTGATGTATGATCTCATCAGCTGTTGATTGATCACCCTATTCCAGGTTGAATGACAACAATCCTAAATTGGTGAAGAAGTCCTTGGACAAGAATGGCCGTGTAAGAGTAGCACCATAGCGGAATCAATATGACACTCCTGTTTTGTGGGGGGGGTGCCATGATGTGTCCACCTAAGGCAGGCAACAAAGCGGCACTATCCCAATCAGCTATCTATCCCAGAGGATTTGGGATGGCTATTGCAGCCTTGATGCCTGAGCGTGGTGAGAGGCTGGAGTCCACTGAGGTGGATTTGAAAGCATATGATGGGTTTGACCATTTGGGGTCACTGGACGACCTCACCCAGGGTCGCAAACACGCATGGTGGCGAAAAGCCTGGTCAATAAGGTAAAGGGTGGACCTTTGCCTGAGGTTCCTGTGAAGAATGGTTTATGGTGCAACTGCAGGTGTCTACCAGCCCACCAATTTGCCAATGATGCAAGGTCCACCCTGAAGATTACAGACTAGACTGATGAACTTCCATTTGGACGCCTGTCACCACACTTCTCGAGAAACTGTACAATTGAATGGATCGGTCCCCCAGCTTAAAC